CTATAATAGAGTAGCATTGAGTTCAATGCTTCACAGTTGCTGCAATCTCCGCTTTCTGCACCCCGCTGCCACTGCTGGGGGGATGGTGGAGGGGTGGTGTTGCTGCTTCAGGACTGGTTTTGCTATCTTTTCAGTTCCTGTTTCAGCGATATGAAATTAAAACCAGGTACTGTAAGTGCTTACCTGATGTTTTGTTCTTATGAAAGTATTTCGTTGTGTGTAGTTAGTTGTTAAATTGGTGTTCTTGTAGGGGGGACAATTGGTGGAGCCTTTTATTCTACCATCTTGCCCCACCCCCTTACTATAATTATTGCTATATTAGGTCATAAGTTCATCACTTAGTTTCTGTTTATTTCCTCTGTTTTCTTTTTGTCTGCCTTCCTCTGTCAACAGATTCTCTTAGTTTTCCTTTATCTGAAACTGATTTTCTCTGAAGAGGAGTATTTAGGAAAGCACAAAGTCAAGAGGAGTGACATAAACAAGGGTCACTTGAGGTATTTGAAGCCTCCGGCACCAATAGCTTCAGCACACATAAAAAAACCCAACTCCTAACCAGACTAACAAATTGTTATGCTAAAGGTATTTTACTTTAGCTTGTATAACTTGATACCATCTATTTGTCTTTTAACAAAAAAAATTAGAAGGCACATCAAAAAGCAAGCAAAAGCAGTCTCAAAGGACCAAGCAAGTATCAGAACCAAGCTCAGATGTGATACAGATATTGGAATTTCAGACAGGACCTTAAAATATCTATGATTAATATATTGAGGGCTATAATGGAAAAATTAGAAAACATGAAATAATAGATTGGTAATATAAGTAGAGACATATAAATTCTTCCAAGGGATGAAAATGAAATGCTAAGAATCTAACAGAAATGAAGAATATTTTAGATAGATAGGCTCATCAGTAAATTTATTATGGCTGGGTTATTGAACTCAGTGAGTTTGAAGAGATGTCAATAGGTAATTCTAATATAAATTGCAAGATGTAAAAGGATTTTAAAAACTCAGAACATTCAATTACTGTAGACTACTTCAAAAAGATGTAGCATGAACATAATTGGAATATGAGGAGAAGAAAGAGAATGGAGCAGAATAAATATTTGATATAACGATGACTGAGAAATTTCCAAAGTTAATGACAGGCACCAAACCAGAGATCCGTAATTCTCGGAGAATAGCAAGCAGAATAAATACCAAAACTTAACCAAGGATGTGTCATATTCAAACTGAAGGAAACTAAATACAAGGAGGAAATCTCAAACCAGAGGATAATAAAAATCGTTTCTATAGGGAACAAGAATAAAAATTAAAGCAGACTTCTTGTCAGAAATAATGCAGGCAAGAGGAGTATGGAGTGAAATATTTAAAGTACTGAGATTCAAAACTCACCAACCTAAAATTTTATATCCAGTGAAATTATCCTCCCAAAGTGAAGAAGATATACTTTCTCAGAGACAGAGAAGTATAGAAATTTATCAGCAGCAGACATACCCTTCAAGAAATGTTAAAATATTTTCTTTAGGGAGAATGAAAAGGATATAAATCTGAATCTTGGGTCTACATATACAGGAAATTATCTTATCTTATCTATCTATCTATCTATCTATCTATCTATCTATCTATCTATCTATCTATCTATCTATCTGTCTATCTATGAGAAATCTGTGTGTTATAATCATTTTCCCACTATAGCTAAGTTTGGTTTCTCTTTTGCTGCTTTCAAGACTTTGCTTTTTTTTTTTTTTTTTTTTTTTTTTTTTTTTTTTTTTTTTTTTTTTTTTTTTTTTCAAGACTTTGCCTTTGGTTTCAGCAGTTTGACTATGATAAGTTTGGGGTTCTTGTGAATTCTTTAATTTGTAAATGTCTTTGTTTCCAAATTTGGGAAATATATATCCATTATTTCTGAGTCCTTTTTTTTAAAAGCTCTCTCTTCATTCTCTTGTCCTTTCAGGAGTCTGATGACATTAATGTTATATATTATTGTCTCTTGCTATAGTTCTACAGGTTGCTGAGGCTCTCTTCATTTTTCTGAGTCTATTTTCTTTCTGTTTCTCTGATTGGATAATTTCCACTGTTCAATATTTGAGTTCCCTGATTCTTTCCTCTGTTGCCTCCATTTTTTCCGTTGGGACCATTCATTGAATTTTAAAATTTTGGTTAATGTATTTTTCTATTCTAAAATTTCCATTTTCTTCTTCTTCATATCTTCTGTTTATTTGTAGAGGCTTTATATTTCTTTGATGAGACTTTCTATTTTTTCATTTGTTTTAAGCACATTCATAATTGCTTGTTGAAGCAATTTTATGATGGCTAATTTAAAATCTTTCTCAGATAGTTAAAAAAATCTCTGTCATTTTGGTGTTAGCATCTAATGGTTGTCTTTTGCATTCAGTTTGAATTATTTCTGTTGATGAGTAATTTTTTTATTAAAATCTGGACATTTTGGGAATTATGAGACTCTAGATTTTATTCCAATCTGCTTTTTTTTTTTTTTTTTGAGGCAGAGTTTTGCCCTTGTTGCCCAGGCTGGAGTGCAATGGTGTGATCTCCGCTCACCGCAACCTCCACATCCCGGGTTCAAGTGATTCTCCTGCCTCAGCCTCTCTAGTAGCTGGGATTACAGGCATGTGCCACCATGCCCAGCTAGTTTTGTATTTTTAGTAGAGACAGGGTTTCTCCATGTTGGTCAGGCTGGTCTCGAACTCCCGACCTCAGGTGATCTGCCCGCCTTGGCCTCCCAAAGTGCTTGGATTACAGGCATGAGCCACTGTGCCCAGCCTCAGTCTGCTTTATCTGGGTTCCTGTGACACTGCTCTGCTGGGTGAAGTGAGTGGGGATGCACTGCTTCATTACTGCCAGGTGTGAGTAGAAGTCTAGGTTCTCCACTTGGCCTTCGTTGACATGGAGGGAACTTCTGTCTACCTACTTATGCTTTCACTTATACTTCTCTAGTGGGAGACGCTGGAGTTCCTTGTTATTGCTACTCACATGTAAAATGGTACAGCCACTTTAGAAAATAGTCTGGCAGTTCTTCAAAAAGAGGTACCATAAGTCCCAGCAACACCACCACTAGGTATAAGCCCAAGAAAAATAAAAACATATGTCCAGACAATAATTTGTACACCAATGTTCGTAGCAGCATTATTCATTGTAGCTAAAAAGTGAAATAATTTAGTCTGTCAACTGATGAATGGACAAACCAAATGTGGTATATCCATACAATGGAATATTATTCAGCAATAATAGGAAATGATGTATTGATCATGCTACAACATGGATAAACCTTGAAACATTAAGCTAAGTGAAAGAAGGCAGTCACAGAGGACTAAATATTATATGATTCCATTCATATGAAATGCCCAGGAGAGGTAGATATATAGGGACATAAAATAGATTCATAGCTGTCTAGAACTGGGGGGTGAGTTGGGGACATATGAGAAATGACTGCTAATCGGTATGGAGTTTCTTTTGGGGCTAATGAAAATGCTTTAAAATTGATTGTGATGGTGATTGCACAATCCTGTAAATATACTAAAAGCCATTGATGTGTTTACTTTAAATGGGTGAATTACATGCTATGTGATTTATATTTCAATAAGGGTTTACAAATAAGAAAACCCAGAGAACTTAACACATTGTATTTCCTCAGGTTCCAACATCTCTAGCCAGTATGCTCTTTTCTCTCCACCTTTCAGAGCCTTCTTATCTTTGTTTTATATATAGTATCTAGGGTTTTTAGTGGGATAGAGAAAATTGCATTTAATTCATCTTGTCCTGTTAGCAGAAGTCATTTGTTTTCAAAATTATCTTTTAACTTTTAAAATTAGCTTATTATAAATTTTTTGTTTATTGTCCTATAAACTTTAATGCATATGTAGATTGGTTAACAGATATATGTTAATCCTGGTTACCACAACCAGGTTACAGAACAGTACGATTAACCCCAAAACTGCTGTGTGCTCTTTCTTTGTAGTCATGCCCTTTCCTCATTTCTAAATTCTGACAACCACTGGTCTGCTTTCTGTTACTATGTAAATGGAATTATAAAAGGAGTAAGTGATTTTTGAGAATAACTTCGTTTATTCAGTATAGTGCCTTTGAGATTCATTGAAGTTGGTTTGTGTATCAATTATTGTTTTTTTCTTCTGGATTAGTATTCCATTATATGGATATACATACCACAGGTTGTCTATACATTCAGTCATTAAAGGATATTGGGTTGTTTCCATTTTTGGTGATTATGAATGGACTTCTTAAAAACATTTGTGTACAGGCTTTTTATGTACATAGTTTTAATTTCTCTAGGGTAAATACTTGGTATGGGATTTCTGGGTCATATGTTAATTATATGTTTAAGTTTATAAGGAACTGCCAAACTATGTCCCAGAGCAGTTCTGCCATTTTGCATATCTGCCAGCAAGGTTTGAGAATTCTGGTTCTCCTGCATCCTCACCAGCACTCGACATTGTTATATTTTAAACTTTTAGGTATTGTCATAGTATATGTCAGTAGTTATTGTACTTTTAGCTTTTATTTCCATAATGGCTAATTATGGTGAATATCTTTTCATGTGCTTATTTGCCACCCTGTAGCCTTTGTGGTCAAGTATCTGCTTGGGTCTTTTGCCCATATTTAAACTGGATTATTTGTTTTCTTATTATTGATTTTTGTGGATTCTGGCTACATGTTTTTTGTTGAATATGTGATTTGCAAATATTATTTCTCACTTGGTAGTTAATCTTTTCCTTCTTTCAGCAGTGAGTTTCTAAAAGCAAAGGTTTTACAATTTGAGGAATTCCAGTTTATCAATTACATCTTATTTAGATTGTGCCTTTGTGTCTAATAACTGTTTGCTTATGCCCATGCCATAAAGATTTTCTTCCATGTCTTCTTTTTTTTTTTTTTGGAAATGGAGTCTCACTCACTCTGTAGCCCAGGCTGGAGTGAAGTAAAGCTATCTTGGCTCACTGCAACTTCCACCTCCTGTGTTCAAGTGATTCTCTTGCCTCAGCCTCTCAAGGAGCTGGGATTATAGGCACATGCCACCATGTCCAGGTAATTTTTTGTTTGTTTGTTTTGTCTTCTTGGTTTGTTTGTTTTCTGAGACGGAGTTTTGCTCTTGTTGTCCAGGCTGGAGTGCAATGGCGTGACTTCAGCTCACTGCAACCTCCATTTCCCAGGTTCAAGCGATTCTCCTGCCTCAGCCTCTCTAGTAGCTGGGATTACAGGCGTGCAACACCACGCCCGGCTAATTTTGTATTTTTAGTAGAGATGGGGTTTCACCATGTTGGTCAGGCTGGTATCGAACTCCTGACCTCAGGTGATCCACCTGCCTGGGCCTCCCGAAGTGTTGGGATTACAGGCGTGAGCATTTTTGTATTTTTTGTAAAGTTGAGGTTTCACCATGTTGGCCAGGCTGGTCTTGAACTGTTGACCTTAAGTGACCTGCTGCCTCGGCCTCCCAAAGTGCTGGGATTCCAGGCATGAGCCAGTGCACCCGGCTCATAGATACTCTTTATCAAGTTGAAGAAATCCCCTTCTATTCCTATTTGCTGAGTGTTTTTTTTTTTTTTTTTTTAAGATGGAGCCTCGCTCTGTCACCCAGGCTGGAGTGCAGTGGCACGATCTCAGCTCACTGCAACCTCTGCCTCCCCGGTTCAAGCGATTCTCCTGCCTTAGCCTCCCAAGTAGCTGGGATCAAAGGCACCAGCCACCATGCCCGGCTAATTTTTGTACTTTTTAGTATAGACGGGGTTTCATCTCTACTTTGGCCAGGCTGGTCTCGAACTCCTGACCTCAAGTGATCCGCCCTCCTTGGCCTCCCAAAGTGCTGGGATTAAAGGCATGCGCCACCACGCCCAGCCTTGAGTGTGTTTTTTTTTTTTTTTTAAGTCATGAATGGGTGTTGAACTTTTTTAGTTGATTTTCTGCGTCAACTGATATGATAATTTGGTTTTTTTGATGTAATCTGTTTTGTATGGTGCATTATGTTTTTTATTGAACCAGTTCTACATTCCCAGGACATACCTCATTGCTTGTGAAGTTTTATTCTGTATATATATTACTGAATGTAATTAAGGAGAGATGGGAGAATTGCTGGAACGATGTGTTGATTAAGTAAAAGGGGGTGGGATCAGGTGTTCAAGTAGAAAGGTTGGCCTTAGGAGCAGCAACCTGTAATCCACAGTAATAGGATTGGCACGTGTGTGAGTAGGTGGGCAAATACGGTGGGAGACTGTGGGAGTTTTCTTCTGATAGCTTCTATTTTTGATATGTTAACCATTCTAACCTGAGCGTAGGAAAGGTAGAAGAGGATGCCAAGAGCGCCATATCTAGAAAGGTTTAACACAATGACTGGGGGCTCCACCTTTCTCCAGTGAGCCTTAGTGAACCACTGAATATTCTGGAGTAGAGGAGTGAGATATGAATAAAATTCAGACTTGATTTGGTAGATAGGATGGATAAGAGGGGGAAAGGTGGCAGGTGGACAGTAACCTAGGTTGGGAATGATAGGACCTAAACTAGGCTGCAAATATAGAGACAAGGAGTTTTTATTGGCAGAGCTAGAATTGAATGGAGTTGGCAGCTATATGCCTGAGGTAGCAAAGAGAATACGCTTTATTCATTCATTCATTCACTTATTTATTTCCTTTTTCAAGAAATATTAAGGGATTGACAGTGGTGCATTGGGGATTAGGGCCTGAGTGAAAGCTGCAGAGTGGGCTGGCAGCTTGGCAGGCTTTGTGACCCAAGCAAAGAAAATAACAGTGAGTGGTGGCCCTGGAGCATTGGGTCCTGACTGAGGGAGGAAGCAAAGCAGGGTGGCAGCCCACTTGGCTCAGGAGATTGATTATATACAAAGGGGTAGAATAAAGAGAAAAATGTTTTGAGGATAATAAAATCCAGGTTTCTCATTATCAGAGAAGGGAGTTAAAAATATGGAAAGGGTCAAAACTAGAATTAATCCTGGTATATAATATAGGAATTGGAAACTGAATTCATGGTTTTCTATATATAGAAATATAGATATAAACTAAATATAAATATGAAGATATGTGTATATACAGAATACATGCATATCTATATCTATAAATGATTTATCTACCTACCTACCTACCTACCTACATATCATCTTTCTATTTTCTAGCTCTATCTGGAAGGAGTCTGGGAGCAGCAACACCCTAGTAGTAATGAACATCTCTAGTGCCCAGATCTTGACTTCTCAATAACATTCTCCACTAAAAGGAACCAAGGATCATTGGAGAAATGGCTCATTCTAAGGCTAGTGCTGGGAAAAATACAAGATGAGCCTTGTGGTGGACAGACTCACAAACTCTAAAGCACCTCCTCCATGTATTTTTAGTAGAGACAGGGTTTCACCGTGTTAGCCAGGATGGTCTCGATCTCCTGACCTCGTGATCTGCCTGCCTCAGCCTCCCGAAGTGCTGGGACTACAGGCATGAGCCACCGCGCCTGACCTGGGTTTTACTTTTTAGTGGGAGGAAATGAACACTAAATAAATCATTATACTGTACTGCAGGTAAGAAAAAATATTTTAAAAATCATTATATCAAGTCAGTTGGGAATAAGTGCAATGATTAAGAATAAACCAGAGGAAGTGCATAAGAGAGTGACTCCAGGACCTAGCTATGTGATTGGTAGGTGTTCTATTTCAATTAGGCTTGTCAGCAAAGGTCTCTTTGAAAGGTAATGTTTGAGTGGAGACCTAAAGGATAAAGATTCAGTTATGCAAAGGTCTGGGGAAAGAGCACTCCAGGCATAGGAACCAGCAAGTTCAAAGGACCTGAGGTGGGAGTGAGCTTGGCATTTTTAGGAGTCCCCCCTGGGATTATGAAGGTAGTTTAACATTGACTCCAACATTAAAAAAGACAAAACAAAACAAAACAAAACAGAAAAACAGGTGAGAATTTAAAGCTATATAGTATGAACAGCAGAACTCTGAAATTTGACTTCTGGATTCAAATCCAGTTTCTGCTACCAGCTATGTGACTCTGCGATAATGCCTTAACCTTTCTGTTCCTCACTTCCCTCATTTGTAAATGAGAATTAATAATAGCTCCAACCTAAATAGGTTACCTTGAGAATTAAATGGATGAGTGCATGTAAAATGCTTAGCACAGTGTCCAGCGTGCTAACCCAATATATATTAGAAATTATCTTAACTGATTTGGCCTGGACTTATTAACTGCCTGGTTGGTGTGTGTGTGGCAGGATCTCAGGAAACATAGCTTATCTGGTTGTATGTTTCTGAGAGGGGACAGAGGAGCCGAGTCCTGAGAAATATGACGCTGCACAGTAAGGGATGAGGGCTGCTTCCTGCTCATTCCTACCCGCTACCAAAACCAGGTCCTGTGAAAGGGATTCTAGCAGGTATGACCCATTGAATAAAACAGGAAACCATGAATTCCCATTTGCATAAATAAAGACACAGTCAAAATCCCTTATTGAAGCCTAATTCTAATTTTTTTATACTTAACCTAGACCCAAATTCAACTCATGTTTGAACTCTTCTAAATAAAAGCCATTTCTAATCTCTGTCCTGTATACAAATGAAGTCCTGACCCTTTGTCCAACCAAATCCTGACCACTTCTCTAATCCGAGGTCTGCTGCTGCCTCCAAATCTAGCCTAGATCCGAATTTCACTACAAGAGGTCCAAACTTGGCCCCTCTTCGGCCCCTTATCTTTACTTAATCTCTTATTGGCCTTAACTCAGGCCCCATTACAGCTCCAGTCTCAATCTTGGTGCTGTATTGGATAACTGTGCTGATCTTAGAAATATTTCTTATGAGGCACTCGGATTCCTGCCTTTCATTCCTAACATTTTTTAGGGGAACCTTCGTGTTGGGGTGAATGAAATTATCTTGGGTGATGAGAGATGCTACTTCCATAATTTATTAGGGCCTATTCTTTCACTTATTTATTATTATCCCCTCAATGTGCTATTCCTTTTTGTCTTTGCTTGTGTTCTTCTCTTTAACTGCAATGCCTCCTCTGCTGGTGATCACCTCCCCAAATCCTTTAATGATCAACTCTTGATACTATATCTAATGATACTATACTTCCCTTAGGACATGTTTCTGGGCCAGTGGATTCTATACCAATACCTTTTGGACTTGCACTCACACTTTGTTTTACATCCTGATTTTTGGTGGAAAATTTCTATGTAGGAGGGGCTGACCATTGGCATTCTGGGTGAATTGGTTCTTGAAAGTACATTTGCACAGCACTTTACCAGAAATTGAGAAAACAAATTTTCTAAATCAAATAATTTCAGGTGGGCTTCCATTTTGGGCAGCAGGATAACCTGAATGACCTTCCTGATTTAAACAACTAAAATTTAATAGAATGTAAAAGTTTAAAATGCCCTATTGAACTACCATTGATTAAGAAGCAGATAAATCCTCAAAACAAGGTAGAGTATGGCCGGGCGCGGTGGCTCAAGCCTGTAATCCCAGCGCTTTGGGAGGCTGAGACGGGCGGATCACGAGGTCAGGAGATCGAGACCATCCTGGCTAACATGGTGAAACCCCGTCTCTACTAAAAAATACAAAAAACTATCCGGGCGAGGTGGCGGGGGCCTGTAGTCCCAGCTACTCGGGAGGCTGAGACAGGAGAATGGCGTGAACCCGGGAGGCGGAGCTTGCAGTGAGCTGAGATCCGGCCACTGCACTCCAGCCCCGGGCGACAGAGCGAGACTCCGTCTCAAAACAAAACAAAAAACAAAAAAACAAAAAAAAAACAAGGTAGAGTATATGCGTACAATGAGATTCTACTGAGAATTAAAGAGGACAAATGATGGAAACACGCTACAACATGGATGAACCTCACAAACCTAGTGCGAAGTGAAAGAAGGCAGGCACAGATGAGTATATACTATTTGATTCCACTTCAATGAACTTCAAGAACAGGTAAAAGTAACCTATGGTGTTAGAAGTCAAGATAGTGTCTACACTTAGGGAGCAGGACTGGGAAGGGGCATGAGGGAAACTTCTGAGAGAAATGTTCCGTCTCTCTCTTTTTTTTAAGAGACTGAGTCTCACCCTGCAGACTGGAATGCAGTGGTGAGATCATAACTCACTGTAACCTCAAACCCCTGGGCTCTAGCAACACCCCCACCTCAGCCTCCCAAGTAGCTGGGACTACAAGTGTGTGCCACTATGCCAGGCCATTGAGGCAGGGTCTCAGTCTGTCAACCAGGATGGAATGTAGTGGTGTGCTCTTGGCTCACTGTAGTCTCTGTCTCCCGGGCTCAAGCGATCCTCCCACTTCAACCTCCTAAGTAGCTGGGACTACAGGTGCATGCCACCACGCCTGGCCAGTTTTTATAGTTTTTGTAGAGATGGGTTTCGCTATGTTGCCCAGGCTGGTCTTGAACTCCTGGCCTCAAGTGATCCTCTCACCTCCGCCTCCCAAAGTGCTGGGATTATAAGCATAAGTCACCATGCCTGACTGTTCTGTATATCTTGTTCTGAGTGATGAAGATATCTCTCTCTCTCTCTCTCTCTCTCTCTCTCTCTCTATCTTAGAGTTTTAAAACTCTATTTATCTATCTTAGTATATTTGCAAATTCATGCAGCTGTTATTTGTGCTTGGAGCCTACCCAGTGTTGGAAATCTAATAGGAGAACCCCTGAGCAGAAAAAAGATGAAATTTCTAAAGACTGTACCTTAGTGTAAGGGTAAAGGAGAAATAAACCCTGCCAAGCAGAAGGGCAGAAAGGAAAATTACTCATTTTGACTTTGTTGCTGAATTGAAAGAAAAAATTTCCCTATTGTAGCAATGGGCACACCTAGGACCCAGATCTTGGATTTTAAGTATTACTTCCGACTAAAAAAGACTCACAATGCCTTGGAGTAATAGCTGATTCCAGGGCTGGACCAGGGAAGTTATAAGGAAATGTCCTCCAGATGATAGGTGCATGTCACAAGGACATAGGAGTCACCTTGAAGGAGTTTGCACTGGCCAGATCTGAAGCAATTTGATCATCATAATAAATAACAATGTTAACAGATTATAACCATTGAATAAAATAGGGATCTATGAGTCTGTTCCAATAAATAAATAAATAAATGCAAGGCACATGTAGCTGGTGGCTACCTTATTGGATAGCACAGCTCTAGAGAATCTGTCACATATTTACATGAGGAATCATGTACAAAAATGCCTATTGTGACATCGTTTGTAATAGCAGAAAATTAGAAGCAATATAAAAGTACATCAGAAGTAGAATGAATGAATAAATAAAATTGTGGTTTGTTTAGACAATGAAGCACATACAGCAGTGAAATGAATAATTTATTGTTACATGGGCCAGCATGGATGAAGCTCAGAAACATAATGTTAACTGAAAAAGCAAGTCCTAAAAGAAAACATAAAATAATCTTTTATATAAAATTCAAAAACAGGCAAAAGATATTATATAAGGATACAAACATAGCTAACAAATTAAATAGAAACAAGAAACTACAAAATTTAGGGTAGTGGTTGTTTTTGTATAGAGGGAGTGCTGTGTGTATTGGGAAGGGCTTCTAAGGTAATAAAATATTGAGTACCTGGGTAGTCATGTATTTCTTTTTTCTTTTTTTTTTTTGCCTGATACTATCCACATGGAGATACATGTCATTATTTTTTAACTGCATTTATATATGACACTTTAAGTTTTTAAATTAAATTTTTTTTTTTTTTTTTTTTTGAGACGGAGTCTTGCTCTGTCGCCCAGGCTGGAGTGCAGTGGCCGGATCTCAGCTCACTGCAAGCTCCACCTCCTGGGTCTACGCCATTCTCCTGCCTTAGCCTCTCGAGTAGCTGGGACTACAGGCGCCTGCCACCTCGCCTGGCTAGGTTTTTGTATTTTTTTGGTAGAGATGGGGTTTCACCATGTTAGCCAGGCTGGTCTCGATCTCCTGACCTCGTGATCTGCCCGTCTCGGCCTCCCAAAGTGCTAGGATTACAGGCTTGAGCCACCGCGCCCGGCCCTAAAATTTTTTATTGAGATGAAATTCACATAACCATAAACTAACAATTTTATTTATTATTTTTTATTTTTCTGTAAGTTATTGTATTTGGTTACATGAGTAAGTTCTTTAGTGGTGATTTGTGAGATTCTGGTGCACCCTTCACCCAAGTAGTATACTCTGCAACATATTTGTAGTCTTTTATCCCTTGCCCCCCCCCACTCTTTCCCCCAAGTCCCCAAACTCCATTGTATCATTCTTATGCCTTTGCATCCTCACAGCTTATCTCCCACATATCAGTGAGAACATATGATACTTGGTTTTCCATTCCTGAGTTACTTCACTTAGAATAATAGTTTCCAGTCTCATCCAGGTCACTGCAAATACTGTTAATTCATTCCTTTTTATGGCTGCATAGTATTCCATCCTATACACATATACCACAATTTCTTTATCCACTCGTTTATTGATGGGTATTTGGGTTGGTTCCATGATTTTGCAATTGTGGATTTTGCTGCTATAAACGTGTGTGCAAGTATCTTTTGAATAATGACTTCTGTTCCTCTGGGTAGATACCCAGTAGTGGGATTGCTGGATCAAATGGTAGTTCTGCTTTTAGTTCTTTAAGGAATCTCCACACTGTTTTTCATAGTGGCTGTACTAGTTTACATTCCCACCAGCAGTGTGGAAGTGTTCCCTGTTCACTGCATCCACACCAATATCTACTGTTTTTTGATATTTTGATTATGGCCATTCTTGCAGGAGTAAGGCAGTATCTCATTGTGGTTTTGATTTGCATTTCCCTGATCATTAGTGATGTTGAGCATTTTTTTCATGTATTTCTTGGCCATTTGTGTATCTTCTTTTGAGAATTGTCTACTCATGTCCTTAGCCCATGTTTTGGTGGGATTATTTGTTTTTTTCTTACTGATTTGAGTTTTGTAGATTCTGGATATTAGTCCTTTGTCAGATGTATACATTGTATAAATTTTCTCCCACTCTGTGAGTTGTCTGTTTACTCTGCTGAGTTTTCCTTTTGCCTTGCAAAGCTCTTTGGTTAAATTAGGTCCCAACTATTCATCTCTGTTTGTATTGCATTTGCTTTTGGATTCTTGGTCATGAAATCCTTGCCTAAGCCAATGTCTAGAAGGGTTTTTCCAATGTTATCTTCTAGAATTTTTATAGTTTCAGGTCTTAGGTTTAAGTCCTTCTTGAGTTGATTTTTATATAAGGTGAGAGATGAGGATCCAGTTTCATTCTCCTACATGTGGCTAGCCAATTATCCCAGCATGATTTGTTGAATAGGCTGTCCTTTACCTGCTTTATGTTTTTGTTTGCTTTGTTGAAGATCAGTTGGCTATAAGTATTTGGGTTTATTTCTGGTTCTCTATTCTGTTCCATTCGTCTATGTGCCTATTTTTATACCAGTACCACACTGTTTTGTTGACTATGGCCTTATAGTATAGTTTAAAATCAGGTAGTGCGATGCCTCCACAATTGTCCTTTTTGCCTAGTCTTGCTTTGGCTATGTGGGCTCTTTTTTGTTTCCATATCAATTTTAGCATTGTTTTTTTCTAATTCTGTGTGG